GTGGCTGCAGTGTCTCTTCTTCCTTCTTCCTGTTCCCCCAATTCTCCTCTCTCTTTGTCCCGCCTATACTTCCTGCCTGGTCACTGGCCATCAGTGTTTTATTTATATAGAGTGATATCCACAGCAATATTTTCTTCTCAGCACACTATGGAACTTTGTCTAAAATTGACCACATACTTGGTAACAAAGAAAACTTCAACAGATGCAAAAAAATTGGAATATCACCCTGTATTTTATTGGGTCATCATGGCTTAAAGTTAGAATTCAACAACAACACAAATTATAGAAAGCCTACAAACTCATGGAAACTAAATAATGCTCAGCTGAATCACCACCACTGGGTCAAGGAAGTAATAAATAAAGAAGTTAAAGACTTCCTAGACTTTAATGAAAATGAATATACAACATACCCAAACTTAGGAGGCAATACAAAAGCAGCACTAAGAGGAAAGTTCATAACACTAAATGCCTACATAAAAAAGTTGGAGAAATCTCACACTAGCAACTTAACAGCACACCTGAAAGCTCTAGAACAAAAAGAAGCAAACTTGCCTAAGGGGAGTAGACACCAGGAAATAATCAAATTGAGAGCTGAAATCAATAAAAATAGAAACAAAGAGAACAATAAAAAGAATTAATGAAATGAAGAGTTGGTTCTTTGAGAAAATTAACAGGACAGACAAAATCCTATCCAAACTAACCAAAAGGCAGAGAGAAAATATTCAAATTAACAAAATCAGAAACCAAAAAGGAGACATAACAACAGACAACAAGGTAATCCAGAGAATCATCAGGTCATACTTCAGAAAACTGTACTCCACAAAATTGGAAAATCCAAAAGAAATGGACAATTTTCTGGATAGGTACCACACACCAAAATTAAATCAAAACCAGATAAACAATTTAAATAGACCTATAGCCCCTAAGGAAATAGAAGCATTCATTAAAATCTCCCAACCAAAAGAGCCCAGGGACAGATGGTTTCAGCACAGAATTCTACTAAATTTTCAAAGAATAGCTGATAGCAATACTCTTCAAATTGTTCCATACAATAGAAACAGAAGGAACATTGTCAAATTCTTTCTATGAGACTACAGTTACACTAATACCCAAACCACACAAAGATGCAACAAAGAAAGAGAATTAGAGACCAATATCCTTCATGAACATTGATGCACAAATATTCAATAAAATACAGGCAAACCAAATCCAAGAATACATCAAAAACATCCACCATGATCAAGGAGACATCATACCAGAGATGCATGGATGGTTCAACATATGAAATTCTATCGATGTAATCCACTATATAAACAAACTGAAAGACAACAACAACAAAACACATAATCATCTCTTTAGATGCCAAAAAAGCTTTTGACAAAATCCAACACCCCTTCATGATAAAGGTCTTGGAGAGATCAGGAATAAAAGGAACATACCTAAATATAATAAAGGCAATTTTCAGCAAGCCAAGAGCCAACATCAAATTCAGTGGAGAGAAACTCAAAGTGATTCCACTAAAATCAGGAACAAGACAAGGGTGTCCACTCTCTTCATACCTATTCAATATAAAACTTGAAGTTCTAGCTAGAGCAATAAGACAACAAAAGAAAATCAAGGGGATACAAATTGGAAAGGAAGAAGTCAAATTTTTGCTATTTGCAAATGATATTGTAGTATACATAAGTGACCCCCAAAAAATCTACCAGGGAGCTCCTACAGCTAATAAACACCTTAAATAATGTGTCAAGATATGAGACTAACTCAAAAATAGCAATAGCCCCCCTATATACAAATGATAAATGGGCCAATAAAGAATTCAGAGAAACATCACCCTTTACAATAGCCTCAAATAATATAAAATATCTCTAACTAAGTAACTCTACCTAAGCAAGTAAAAGACCTGTATGACAAGAACTTCAAGTCTTTGAAGAAAGAAATTGAAGATATCAGAAAATGGAAAGAGCTTTCATGGTATGATTAACATAGTAAAAATGTCAATCTTACCAAAGCAATCTACAGATTCAATGCAATCCCCATCAAAATACCAACACAATTCTTCACAGACATGGAAAGAATAATACTCAACTTCATATGGAAAAACAAAAAACCCAGGATAGCCAAAAGAATCCTTTACAATAAAACAACCTCTGGAGGCATCACAATCCCTGACCTGAAGCTCTACTATAGAGCTACAGTAATAAAAACAGCTTGGTACTGACATAAAAACTGGCATGTGGACCAATGGAATCAAATTGAAGACCCTGACATTAATCTGCACACCTATGAACATATAATTTTTGACAAAGAAGCCAAAAATGTACAATGAAAAAAAGAAAGCATCTTCAACAAATGGTGCTGGCATAACTGGATATCAACATGTCGAAGGCTGCAAATAGATCCATATCTGTCACCGTGCACAAAACTTAAGTCCAAGTGGATCAAAGACCTCAACATAAATCCAGCTACTCTGAACCTGCTAGAAGAGAAAGTAAGAAGTAGTCTTCAACACATTGGCATAGGAGATCACTTCCTAAATATAACACCAACACTGAGAGAAACAATCAATCAGTGGGACCTCTTGAAACTGAGAAGCTTTTGTAGAGCAAAGGATACGGTCAACAAGGCAAA